CTCTCCCAACTCCCTCGTAACTGCAGCTTACCTACCCTGGTTTGTTTTCCTGACTCAGTAATTACGTCCAACATACATATTTTTAATAAGTCAATTTAACTTTGTTTTGTTTGTCAAACTCACAACATCCTTTGAAATGAAAGACACCAGGGAAATCACAAAAGCCATGGCAGAGAACGGCTGCTGTGCTCGCAGGACAAGGACGCTGACAACATATCTTATTAGTGGTTGTGGGGGCTCAGAAAACAATACCCCGAAGTATGGCTCTTGAGCATGCTGAGTACATGGAACTAAAGGAGAACAGAATGCCTCGGAAGCAGCCTCAGAAGCAGAGTCTCTGACTTTCTGACCTTCTCCTGCCCTCCTGTCTCCCGCCCCTCTTTCTCCCACAAAGCAGTCATAGAAACTAGAACCCCTCTCCCTCAAAGCAAGCCACAAAACCTAGAAATATTGTAACCTTCTCCCACCTTTCTGTGTAGGAGCAGACCATAAGGAAATTCTCTGACCTACCTTGTCTCGTTCCAGAGGGGTCCTACCCCATACCCCAGAAGGAATGAATGCTACACAGAGGTCAAGAAGAATCTGAACAGACGGGCCTTGCTGGGCCCCCACCTCCATCAACCCCCCAAGTCTATCACCATTAGATCATACCCTTTGCCCAATCATATTTCTACACAGCTGTCCAACCTTCATCAAATCGAAGCACAAAAATGGACAGTTTTCCCTGGATCTTCAGGTCTTCCTTTCTGAGGGTTGCCAGGTCATGTAAAACTTTATTTTTTGGCAGCTGGCTGGTAGGGGGATCCAAACCCTTGACCTTGGTCTTATCAGCACCAGTCTGCCCAGTGAGCTAACTGGCCCCAGTAAAACTTTAATAAATTTGTTATGCTTTTCTCTTGTTAACCTGTCTTTTGTTATAGGAGTATCAGCAGTGACCTTTATGACAAGTGAGAAAAGGTACCACACCTTTTCCACCCCTAAATGGTACAGCAACAAACTCACAGACTTCACTAAGCCCTTTCACATATTAACTTATTAAAGCCTCACAGCAACTCAATGAGATAGGAACAATAAATGCCATTTTACAGATGAGGAAATACAGGAGTTTAAGTAATCAGCCCAATGTCATACAGCTAGTGTCAACAATGTGATAACGTTCAACTTCTATTTCACAGTATCATCTCAGTCCCAACATAAAGAAATACAAATTCCACAAGGCTATTTTTTGGAACTTCATGGAATGAAAAATAAAGCAATTAGTACCTTTGCAACAGCCAAATTCTTCATTCCAGTCACTATATTTATTTCTCATTGTTTTAAAATAACTTTTTTTAAAAAGCAAGCAGGGCAATGTAATAAGCACTTTCTTCTGTTGATTTACAGAAAATCCAGAATCTCCTTCCCCATGGCAGAACAAAAAAGAACCCAGAGAGCAAGGCTTAGAGCCTCCTAGCCAGTCATCTATAATTCCATGCTGGAAAACTACCTCAAAAAGTTGCGGTGGGACCGGGCCTGTTAGCTCAGATGGTCAGAACACAGCCCTATAACACCAAAGTCATGTGTTCAGATCCCCGTACAGGCCAGACGCAAAAAAAAAAAAAAAAAAAAAAAAAGCTGCTGTGCATACCTGTCCTAGTGGCTTGGTTTTCGCCTTCAAAGCTTCTGAAGCATGCTTTATTAGGTGCTTTCCACAGCCAGCAACACCCTGCCCTTCCTCTTTCCCATCCACTCCTGCCCCAGCCAGCTGCCTGGACAATTTCACACAAGAAAATGGAGAACCAAGTTCTCCTTCCCCTGATCTAGAAAACTCCATACCACTCAATCCTATATACAACTATCATAGCAGATATTCAAAACAACTTGTCAAATGCAATTCCAGGACTTGACAAATCACTGATCAATTAAAACAAGCAAACCCTTCTTCCTTTATGAATTATACTAACATTTTCACAGAATAAAATTTATTTACTATTGATAAACAGGGGACTTATCCAAAATTCCTGGCAGGTGGGACCTACAGTTCTTGCAGATATTCAGCAGGCTAGGCTATAAATTCATGTCTTGCATCACAAAAAAGTTAATTAAAAATAAGAAGCTATCAAATGAATTTATGTTTATACACAGTAAGTTTTTAGCATCTCTAAGGAATACATCTCTAAGGAATGTGGGGCAGACACTATTCAGCTGGTTAGAGCCACCACACAGATGACAGCAGTAAGGGCAGCTAAGCTTCAGCAAGCACCTGCCACATCCCAGCCTCCGCTCCACATGCTTTACAACTAACATCTCATTAACACTGGGCCTGCCTTTTTCCACTAGAGGAATCATTCAGCAGCCTGGCCTTGCTGTATGATTCCATTTGTAAAAGTTCACAAATGGCAGTTTTTTCATCTATGGTGTTGGAAGTTAACAAATCTGTTTCCTTTGGGGCAAGTGAGACAGAGTAGTGAATGGGGAAGCACAGGAGCTTCTGGGTGCCGCTAATGCTCTACTCCTTGACTTTGGGGACTGTTCACATGGGTAGGCTCATTATGTGGTAACTCATCAAGTTGTCCACTTAAAATGTGCATGTATGTAAATTATACAAGTTTTCAAAAAGTTAAGAGGTACGTATTGACAGAGGAATGTGGAAAGAGCAAGCACTGTGAGAAGTCCTGGTCCTGGCATCCCCAGTAAACGGCCTATGATGTGAGAGAGTCACCTATGAGTGCTTTTATCTTCCTTCCTTACAAAGAATTAGAATACTAGATGCTCTTCAATTCTATCATTATGCCATCGCTTCACTTTTGTAGGTGGGGAAAAGGGAAGGAACAACTAGATGGGTAGAAAAATAACTCAAAAGCAAGTGTCTCTCCCACCAGGACATCATTAAAACACAAAACATAAAGCCTCTCCAGACTCAGGATGGAACTCTGTCCTACAGCAGCTCCATGCTGAAAGGACAAATTCTAAGAACCTCCCACAGAACAGACAATGGCCTTCATTAAGGAACTCAATGTTTTTAGAAAACTTAGGAATAACATTTCCAAAAAGCCACAATGACGCCAGAGCTGTCAAGGCAAGTTATTATCCAAGGACTGTTGTAGAGTATACATAAAGCACATGTACTTCACAGGGCCTGGTTTTCCAAAGCCTTGCAGTTTCAAGTATTGACCTTGCAAAAGACAGGAAACTTTCCCCAGGTTATATATAGTCTCTGTTGTAAGATAAAGAATTGTAACACAGCAAGGTTGCTGGCTCAAAAACAGACAGGTTACTGATTGATATGTAAAGATACTGGGAAATTGCTGTAAGAAGAGAATGTTTGCTAAAATCAAGCTTTTGTTGCAAATTGCACTATAGGATGTCACCTTACTGAATGTTACCAGCTTCTATTGTTAAACTTTTTAAACTGTACTTAGCAAACACCCCACCTATGTTCTCTTCCTGTAACTTCCTGGTCTGGAGAATAAATGCAGGAAGAGAACCCCAATTCTCGTTAATTTCCCAAATGGAAGGAATGCCTCACTCTTGCGGGTCTAGGGAGATTAACCCCTTTTGGGGGCTTCTCACTGCTCAGAAGAGATGGGCTTTGAGTAATCTTTGGTGGCTCCGTCACCCAGGGAAAAGGGGTGACAAATCCATGGGAGGCAAAGCAACAGACTGTGTTATCAGCATGACCTTGGCATAATCCTAAAGACTGGACAGCAAAGTTAGACCAAGGCCATTATCATACCTTCCACTGGGTCCCTCGGTTAACTAAATATTCTTGTTAACTATACTCCCACATATACAAGGTGGATTTTACATTTCCAAAGAAACAACTAAGTCCCTTTTGTGTGATGTGAGTGAATCAGAACTCAGGGTCTTATGACGAGTGACTCAATGCCAATGAGAACAATTGTTTGATACGGTAAAAAGAAAAAAATTGTTCTGAAACAGTACAGAAAATTTAGAGACAAGCATTAGTTTATTATACAGACCATGGAATTACAGCAGTACAAACCCCAGTGAGAAACAAATTTTCTTCAGTGAATATAAAACCAAAAATCTCACCTTTCACAGACTACAAGTAAAACAAATGTGAGAGCTTGGTCTAAGGTCAAGACACATTCTTGAGAGCTGCTGAACGCTAACATGAGAAAAACACCTTAAATCTACTTCATCTAATCTATGTCATCAAATATCGACTTCATTACATATCTTATTTCTTTGGTTTTCCATCAACTCTGTCATCCACTTTGTTACTGTCTATTAAAATTTGGGTGGCTGCATGGTAGTTAGAATGACTAGCCCCTAAATTACATACAGTTACTAAGAAACAGAAAGTGAGGATGAGGAAGCTAAAGATCAGGTTTATTTCCCTTCAGTGGGCTATTACCTGAAACACCTAGACTTGGGATCCTCTCTGTGAAGAAATGAAAATCTGGCTTCACGACTATCTACAGAATTTCAGTAATTACCCAACCTCATTCCTTTCCCATTCATGATTTAAAGGAGGTTAAGATGTGAAGGCAAGAGTTTTTCCCCAAGAGGGAAAAAAAGAAGGATCATGGTGACACAGGAAGGCCAGGAGGGCCCCTTCTAACTCCAGCAAGGGAGTGCAGCTGGTTCCCAGGCGCTGCCTTCAAAACCTGCAGTGGTTTTTAACAACCATTCAGGACAATAAATAGGTATTATTATATACTCTGTGCATTGTTCTCACGTACTTACATTTTCCCCAAAACGAAGGCTACTGCTAAATCCGGCCCATGGCTGTGCAAGACATCTTAAAGCAGGTGAAATGAGGACTCCATTGCAAAATTACTGGGACCACAGAACCCCATAACACCCTCACCACCTAGGATCCAGAGTAAACGTACATGCAAAGATAAGCAACAAAATAAGTGATAGACCTATGTGTTTCCTGCAACCTCAATACCCTCACAGATGGCAGCAACTGAGGCCAACGGCCAAGGTTCTGTCCTGCGGGACGGGGCTGCACTCGATCTCGATCCCAGGCTGGGGGTCCCAGGGCTTACCCGCGCCCAGGAGGCTGGCCAGGACGAAGAGAGCACACATAGCGCCGTTTGACTTCGCAGTCTGCAATGCAGAGCGTCAGCTGATACCCCGCGGTTATAAACCTGCCCTGCCCCGCCCAACGCGCAGGCGCAAACCCCGTCCCGGCTGTTCCCGCAGCCTGACTCAGCGCTGCGCAGGGCGCCTGCGCGAAAGGGGGGGCGG